GGTATTTGTTGGCTTCTACGCCACTCAGGAAAATAAAGTGCAAGGAAACGATCTTTTAGTGGTGCTGGTGGTGGATTTTTTACTTTTCCCCCCCTGCTTCAGCACTGCCAGGCCACTCTTGTCAAGAGGCAGTGGCACCACTGTAGAAGATTGATTCATCCACCAGTACTTGCACTCTCAAGGACCTTCACTGATTGTCAGCTGAATTTCCACCATATAGCTAACCAGGAGCAGGACTGGAAAGAGGGCAATAACATTTACCTAGGAGACTCTCACTACCAGCACCAACAGACCCCCTTGCTGTAACACATGCTGCACATCTAGTTGTGCTGCTTAATTGCAGCATTTCCCCTGATTAGGTTGAACAGCAGCAGAACCCAACCTGGCTGCTGCAGTTGTCCTTTTGTTACTCTTTACTGTGTGGGACCCTCAGGATCCAACATCCTTTCTCGGTGAGAACCATGTCTCCTTATGCTTGCGTTTTGCAGAGAGCATTTTGGCTCTCCACCCACTACTGAAGTCTAAAACACCAGGGTCCTTAACCTTGCCAGAGCATTAGTACAAAGGCAGCAGCAGCCTTCTCTAACATGCAGAGGTTCACAGAAAAAATTGCTCAAACAAGATTTAAGCAACTGAACATGCAGAGGAACAAAACGGACATCCAAATGGCAAGTGGAAAGAGCCACAGTTGAAAAACAAACCACAGCAGTCTCAAAAGAGAGAAGTAACAGTCAAATATCTCCCCTTCTGAAATTATTTGGTGCCCAGCAATTTGGGGCACTTCACACTTAAGCAGGCACGTGGTCTTCCATGGCCTCATGTCTGGCTGGAGTCCTGCTGTGAGCGGTGTGAAAGGTTTCAGACAAAGGAATTCAGAATTTAGGGAAGAGTAAGATAGGACAGAGCTTACCCCACTTGCATAAAACCCCTTCCTTCCATAAATGCAACCGTTCTTTTCCATCCTGCAAGGGTCTGTGATGCAACTTGGGCTGGGGAAACTGGGACGGAAGCGCCCACTGGAACATCGCCCCCCTTGCCTGGAATGAAGGGAGAGGTGGCAAACGGCCTTACCACCTCAAGTGGCCACAGAAATCAATCTGAAGATTGCCAAACCCCCGTAGGAAACAGCAGCAGTGAGCCCTGCCAGAGCCAGGCCTGGTTGACAAATGGGCAGGGAGAGAGTGAGGTTGCCCGGCCCACTGGAGGAGCTCACAAGCGAAATGCCTCAGCCACGGTGGAAACATCACACAGGAGGGACACTTCTCAATTGCCATTAATGTTAATTTAGGCTACTGAAAACACAAATAATTCCAAAACCAACTGACAACAGATATATAGAGTACACAGTAAAGCTCAGCAAAGGTCAGGCCCCTGCAGCACAAAGCCCAGCACAAGCACACAGGAAGACCGAGCTCTCAGAGCTCAAGGCGACAGCACCCTGACTCACACTCACTATTACTCAGTGCAAGCAAGAGCATCCTGGTCCAGCGGGTCTGAACTCACTGGCTGCAGGTTTGCAACAAAAGATGTCTTCACCCACAACCATTATTCCTGCAGCGGCTCAGGCAGTTGGAACAGCTACATAAAGAGCATCAAGACTATTTTTCACCCATTCCCTTTTTGGGAGCTGGTCTCACCCTCCTGCCTGCCTATCCATACTGCTGTGTTTCAGAGAGGCAAAAGGCAACAGGAGAGGCAGACCTGACCATCTGTGAAACTGGGAATTTAGAGCGTAAGTTAAATGCTAGAAGCAGCCCCTGGAAGCAATTTAGACCAAGTAGATGTCTATTCTCTTCTGGCTTACCACAGAACGAAATACAATGAATTTGTTGTGGCTCTTAACTGCAATACACAACTTTCCTATATGAAACACTGAAAACATATTTTTGTCTCTCTTCAGATAAGTGTATTCTTTTGAACTCTGGGACTTAGTTTCCTGTGTCTTGTGTTGATTTTCCCCTTTGAACTCACCCGTTGAGCCTATCAGTGAGTTTTGGGAATGTATTATTCATAGGGGGGAAAAAAAAGAAAGTGTAAAACATAAGTTTTGTGTCATACTGGCCTGTCTATCACCTCAGAGGATTACAGTTTCCCCTTTAATGCCAGCCGGCTCTATTACAGTAACTAAGTAAATGGAATATCCTGGCCATTTTAAACACCTGCTGTGCTGCACTCCTGCCCAGCCACCTCTGACATGCACGCCAAGGAGGGAGCTGGCAGCACGAGCCAGCAGCTGAGGTGTTTTTTGGGCTGCTTGAGCAGAGAACCCCAGCACTGCAGCATCAAATGCTGCCAGTGCCTTGGCAAGCTGGGCCTGGGCAAGCTGGGGTGGATATACCCCATGCATGGTAGTATCCAGCTGGCTGGCACATCCCACGTGTGTCAGAAAGTTGGCTGGATGGTTTTAAAGAAGAAAATCTTTTCAATAGCTGTTATATTATTTTCTTTTTAGGTTAGTCTTATTCAGTATTCTTTTATGACATCTCTACTAAAAAAAACCCAAAAACATGCAGATGAGAAGCAGCATGTTGGAACAAGCAAATAAAAGTGGTTTGCTTTCATCTGATTTAAAAGATTTATCACATGCTCCAGGTTAATCTGTTAGGCAACATTATTCCAACAAGGCGTGGTCAGCATTTTTATAATGTATGAAACATTACTTTCGGATTTATGTGCTCTCTCTCTTTATAGTCCATATGTTGTGGATATCACAAACTGGTGTGACACAGACTCAGGAAATTTTCTGAGACTCCTGTATTTTTTTTTTGTTGTTGTTTGTTTTCTTTCCCCAGTAGGGAAGTCAAAGACACAACTAGATACCCATATCCAATGTACATTCAGATGTGTCTGCAGCTTTAGATGCACAAATATTTTTTCAAATCTTTTCCATCATTTTACACACCTTATAATGCATTACAGATGCTTTCATGCCTTAAATCTATTTAGAGTGTTTTATTACTCAGAGGAAATAATACTGGAAACTACCACTATCCTACTGACAATTAAAAAAAAATTACCCTTGGCATTCTCAGCAGCCACTTCCACTGCAGGTGAAAACAGACATACAGGATGTGGCTTGGCAATGGAGTGGGGTCGAGGATTCAGCAGGGAAAATCTCTGGAATTTTGACTCAGCAAGCATCTAATAAGGTCTCTGCTAGAGAAGTTCTCGGTTGACTTACATGCATATTTCAGTGCTTTTCTAAATCACAATTCACTCAAAGGACTGTATGTTTCACTATTAAGTTTAGAGTAGGACCCAAATCTTATATAGTAAAGGCAAAATCCATTCCTGATGTGAACTGGGTAATGCTGGAGTTGAATTTGACACAACTGACCTGTTCGGTTTTTTTCTCTTAAGGATGGAAAATACAGAGACTTGAGGAGCACACCTTTGTCAACGTGCAAGAGCAGCACAGCTTGCAAATAGGGTTGCATGGGTCTTGCAATCTTTCACCCAGGGCTTATTCTAAAAACCTCTTCCTCCCCCCATCAACTGCAACAAAAGTTTTGCTTGAGGAAGGAGCAAGACCCAGAAGAGCTGCTCTCTCACTTGTGTTGCAATATCCAATCTGAGTGTTACCATTAGCCTTTGAAAACTGACTATATAGAAAACACAGATGATGTTTGCATATTTTAATTTTAAACCTCTCTGCTTGGCATAAGGATGGAACCTAATAAGTTGCTTTGTTTCTGCCTCATGAATTAATTCAGCTTGCTAACTGATTTGGATAAAGCATTTTGATTCCAACTACTAAATTTGTTTTCTGGGCAGGCAAAACAACTTTTGGAAGCAAAGTAACAAGTTCATTAACTTGCCAGGAGAAGTACTTTTATAATATCTTTAAGGAATAGATCTTTTCTTTTTATAACCTACTTGTTCCACCCATGTCTTTTACATCAATCAGATAAATTCACCTTGTTTTTCAATGCCCTGAATTCTGATAGCTCTGCACACTTGATAGGTAATTTAATCATTGTTGGCGTGGATGAACACAAGCTCAAATTAGCTTCTGAAAGGCTTAGTCGCCCTGTAGATAGCTCTGCCTTTCCACTTTTATGCAGGAACTGAGCTTCACCAACTGGTTAGCTAGAGGTGTCATTAAAAATTTACAGAAAGAAACAAAGGTGTGCTCCAGCGTCTCTTCTTACCCTTTCTACTGTTACTCTGGCAAACAAAAGGTATGGAACCTGCTTCATGAATGTAATGTAATATGCATAATGCATTTTTAATGGCACGCAGTAATAACACTGAGAGAGATATTTCCAATCTTCAGACTTGCACTGCAGCCTCTCAGTAGCCTGTTCTGATTCTCCCCAGATAAATCTTCTTTTCCTCTTCTTCATTTCAATTCCCCACCTTAAAGCTATGTCTTTTCTCCACAGGTAGCTGCATTTTACCTAAGCCAGCAGCTGGCACTCCTGCAAGAGAGGCTCAGGAGGTGGGAACACCTTCCCATGCAGCCACATGGACATTTTGGGGCAGTTTAGGCCTGAGCAGCAGCCCAGCACTGGTGCCCTGAGACACACCAGTGAACTGCAACACGCTCTGGCAGGAGACACACTTGAACCAATAAAGTTCTTCCCATGAAAAACATTCTCACCTGAGAATTCTTCCCATGAAAAACATTCTCACCACCCGGGCTGTGTCCACGCTGCCTCCCCAGCTGCCCGCCCCAGACAGCAGGGCAGCACTAGGCTCAAACCACACTAGTAGCCCTGTTGGAAATGGGACACTCCAGGGGAACAGGCACACGTTGCTATTGTCATCGTAAAGGCAAATGCCAGCAACTGAGCCTGCTCAGGGCCTGCTGGAGTGAGGCCTGCTCAGAGGGAAGGAGGAAGGCTGTGCCTGGCAGGAAAGGCCCTCCTGAGGGCAGACGGGCTGGCACCCAAGCCACCCCATGCCCAGAACCCCTGGCCAGCACTCAACTCCATCCACAATAGCAGTTTCCCTGTAAAATAAATACCGAGCATAACCCTGGGACACCCCAAGCCTACCTGTGCCACCTGATGAGCCACTTCTTGGAGCCTCCCCTGGCCCGGGCAGGGCCCAGGGCATCACAGGTCTTCCCCATCAACACTTAGCATCCTACACTGACCTTCTGCATTAATTAATACAGCATAATGGGCCTAATGTGGTCATCAGAGCACCTGGCACCTTCTGTGGTGCCTGTGCCACAGCCTCTCTCACTGACTGCTGGGCTGTTCAGTAAGAGCTTGGTGTGTGGGCAGCCCTGCCCGGCAGTGAAGCCCTGCCCAAGTGGGTTCGCCCTGTGGGGATTCGCTTCAGCCACAGCCTGTGATGGCGACCTGTGGGGAAGCAGCTGAGGTTCTCAGGGGTGGCAGAAAGCAGAAACACAGAGGGACCTGGGTGCCACCACGGCAGGCAGAGCGCCACGGCCCTTGGGTGGGCAGGGTACCGCAGGGCTGGGCCAGCCCAGCAGGGCACAGGGGCCTCTGCTCACTGGGTTTATCCAAAATAAAAGTACAAAGCTGAAAACAAGAGTACATACCTATGTGGGCACAAGATTATATGCATATATAAAAGCCCAGGCTGCCATGCTGTGCTCTGCTGGGAAAAGGACAAGGGAGCCCTCCATCCTCCTCCTGCTTCTCTTTTGTATGGGCTGCAACTGGCAGATGGAGCCTGCCCTGCTGACAAGGCAGGCAGGCAAAAGGCAGTGCTCTGAGTCCCAACAGGCTTAAGTATAAATGATGCACCTGCTGCTCAGGTGTCCCTGCAAACTCCCAGACACAGACATTTAATCTTGTGGGGGGACATTCAAGTTTCTCCTGGGCTAAGCAGGGACTTCTGGCAGTCTACACTTCCAAAGCAGACACTTAAAACCACTGTTTCTCCTCTAAACCCTTTCATGCTGATAGTGCTAGGCCCAGTATACCCCAGTCTTCAAAAGTGTAAATGTTTAACTGAAATCAGTGGGAGCTGGACAAATATATATGGCAGTGGTGTTTTCCAATCACTACAGACCTTGTGCAAATTCTGCTGTGCCTACATTCCATCCTCAGATTCTGCATTCCTGACAATCTCTGTAATGGCTGACATTCACAAATGTGCTGAAGTTACATATTTAATAAAAATCACTCTGGACCATCCTCAATACTTTATTAACTTAAAACATTGTTCCAATAAATATGTGCCAAGAAACATAAGACACTCTGTAAAATCTAAATAAGGACATTTACAAACCTGTCAACAAAGTAAAAACACCTCTTTTTTTTTTAACTGAGGTACATGCAGGGTTGTTTAAGGCAAATTAAGTCAATTATACTTTTATAATAATTCCTGCCCACCTCAGAAAGTTTCCCTCTAAAAATTAAAAAACCAAAAACAAATATACAAATGATGTTATTGAGTAGCTATTTTCCAGTTATTAGAACAAGCCCAGAGTGCAGAAGCCTGTAATGGTTCTGGACAGAAAGTCTGTGCCTTCCTCGTGCTCCTGCCTTTCTCAGGTAGGATCACTTGTTGGATTGGTTTCTGGTTCTAAGGCATAATTCTGTGCTTTGGCTTTTCCACTGGTCTTTTCACAAACTTCCTTCTCCCCAGAGGATGTAGGAAGAGGTAACCCCCCATACCTCAAACACTCAGGCAGTCAGGCCTTACACAGACAGAGAGTGAGTTCTGGGAGGATAAAAAGGGCCTCTCTATAACTGATAATGCAGCTCCTGATTTGCACCAGAACAAGAGAGAGCAGACTCAGACCCAAGCTGGTACCTTTGCTTAAAAACCAGCAAGATGTCAAACTGTACAGTCCTGATCCTCCAGGTTTTCCTGAAAGGAAATCATCCAAGAGTGAAACCATTCAGCACTGGACTTAACCAAGGCAAGTGCTGATGGCTCTCTGTCATTGCACCATGTAAACACTGTTATACCCATGTTTTCCTGCAAGGTGATTCAAGCTATTGAAAACTTGAGGGGGTTCATCATGGCCATGGGAGAAGTATTTTCCACCTTACAGACATTTGGTAGCTTATCCATCTTTGGAATATCAAGGCTTCATATCTAAAAGGCTTATTTTCCAGTGTTATTTCAGAGACAAAGAGGAGATAAGAAAAATGCCAGCCTTTAATTGCTACTTTCAGTCATTCAGGTTGAGCTGTCAATGCATGGCTCTGTCCTCTTCTTTCCTCTTCAAGCTCTGTTCAGAAAGGTAATGCCAGGGTTCGTGTTCAGGAAATGGCTTGGGTCCAGCAAGGAAGCCAAGGGAGTCTGTTCTCATAGTGTTGTAGGCTTTCCGTATTGTAGCTGAGGCTCATTTCAGGCCATGCTGTGTCTCCCGGTGTCTCCGTAAATCCACCTTTCGTTGGAAGCCTTTACCACACAGATCACAGCCAAAGGGCTTGAAGCCTGTGTGCTTCCGACTGTGGGTGATGAGGTTGGAGCTCTGACTAAAGGCTTTTCCACACACCTGGCACTTGTGAGGCTTCTCACCTGTAAGCAGAAGGTGGGAAAATGAGAGAGGGTGTGAAAGAGGCATCATGCTGCTTACATGGGACCACAGCAAACAGCAAATACACACTGGGCCTTACAGCTTATTAAACAGATTCCTGTGTGATTACCTAAGAAGTCATTCTTACAAAAAACATGCAGTTGGGAGCCTCAAAGCATTAGCTGAGCCTGCACTACAGCTGAGCAGGTCTGGACTTGGATGCACCTCCATCACCCCGCTATAGTCCTGGGAGCAGTCTGAAGCACAGAGTGCTCTCAGGGTACCACACTTTGTGAACATATTTGGCTGCATGGGCTCTGTTCAATTTAAACTGGCTTTGTGCCCTAGAAACGTGAGGAACTCCTTGAAAAGTGATGAATGCATGACATGGATTACTATACCATCAGCATAGGGGCAGGGGGAATAGGTAGGTGGAGGTTGTTAAGACCAACCCAGTGAGCTGGGATCTGTCCCAAGGGAGGTATTAGGGTCATTCAGTGAGCCCTGAAGGGCAGAGTTTATCCAAATATCTGTTCTTCTCTCTGTTCCCCACACTGAAATGCTAGCAGTCACAGCCTTGAAGTTCTCCTGAAGGCAAATAATGTAAATGAGAATAAAAGCAGCCTCTGGAACTTCTACAGAGCACTCAGTGGCAAAACTCCACTGGCCTCCATGGGAGCAGGATCTCAGTGTATTTTCATAGTGTTTATTATCAAATAACGAATAAAAGGGAACCCAACCACAATACCAAGCCAGATTTTCAGAGTGGTTTTGCACCTGCAGAGCCCACTGACTTCAGCTGGAGCAACAAACTCTCTGGATGTTTGAAGATCAGATTCTTAGAATCATAAAATAACACAAAATTTGCTGAAGTCTCAGTTCACAAGTATATGCTGCATATGAAAGGAATCCCTGATTCAGTTAAGGACCTGGTTTTATATTAGCAGTTTAAAAGCCCAGGCACAGTTTCTGATCTCACAACAAAATAATGGTTTTGACTGATTCAGAATTTGGCTGAAATTCTATTTAATCAAGCCTCGTTTGAAAAAGTTATTATGGAAATACTTGTGTTACTTCTAAATAGTTCATTTTCATCCAGCAACCATCTAGTGGAAAATCTTTATAAGTAACATTTATTGTTCACTGCTTATCACCTAGAAAAGTCACAGTCAAGCAGTGCCACATATAGTGCCATCTTTCTACATATTTGCCATTTTTAGGCTTCACCCTTGATATCTGCTAGTGGACACATCAGGAAAAAGGATTTTTGTTATCTGAACCTTGGGTTTGGCCAGTAAAGCTATTATTTCATGTCTACAAATTCTTCCGTATCTCACACATCATTCATTTCCCTCTACTTTAAGTGAACAGTGCAGGTCTGAAAGGCAAGATTTTCTTTTAATGATTTCTGATAAACCTGCCTTCTCACTGAATGACATTTTTAAAACAATTTCCTTTGGTGATTCACCTGCACTTTAGTAGTTTCCATGTTTATTACTAACAGTGAAACTTGAGAACTCTGCACCTCTCCTTCCATTCTGTATCAAACTGCAGCCATTTCTCAGAAAGTCCGGGTGGAAGTGCAATCTCTGAACAAATATTTAGACTAAGAGCTGGATCCTCAGCCCTGCAGTTTAGTGTTTGATCTAGAGGAGGAGACTCCTGTTGCTCCTATTGTAAATTGGTAGATCCTGCAAAAAGCAATGCTGCAATCAAATTCACCTGTCATTTTCCAGGGACCTCAGCTGTAAATCAAGGCTACACGAATATAATACTCTACAAATCATCTTACACGAAAGCCCTTTGAATAAACATTGGTGGATCCTATTAAGAGAACACTGATTGGATTGCTAGGATTTGGGTTGTTTTGCAGCTGCTGTTCAGTAAACCACATTCAAATCACCCTCCTTTGCCCAAGTACAGCTCAGACAGCATGAACAGCAGCGGGGCAGTGAGAAGCACCGGGAGATGTGTGTGTACTGTCCCCGCTGAGGAGGAATGGATTGCTGCAGAGAAACCTCTGCCCTCATGTTGGGGCTGAATACCAGCAGCTGCAGGGCTGACCTGTGTGAATGAAGGTGTGTTTCTTCATATCAGATTTCTGGTGGAACCGCTTCCCACAGTACTGGCACGGATAGGGTCGGGTGTCTGAGTGAATGAGCAGGTGGGTCGACAGAGTAGAAGATCTCTTAAAACTCTTGCCACAGATCTTACAATCAAAGCTGCGTTCCTGCAGAGAGATGAGCACAAACACACACATTACACCACACCAATGATCCCATCAGCAACAAACTACCTAGCAGCACATCAGTGTTGTCCCTTCTGCCTTAGCAAGCACTTACACTTCTCTAGAGAGCTGAAATGGCCTTCAGAGACACTAACACTGGCTTGATAGCACCACATGATAAAAAAGATATTGAATCCTCTCCCAGTGCTGTGCACTGCTCCTCAAAAAATTTAATTGAACAGCTCTTCCTCCTGGCAAGAATAGCCAGGTGGGGGCAGCCCTGATGGACCAGGCAGTCTGCCTGCACATTTTAACAGGGCCCAAGATGCAATCACTCTACTGGGAAGCCAAACAGCTGCAGCGCTGTTCAGAGGCCACCTCTTCACCGTACACAGGAAAGTGGGTGCTAAGGTCTGCTTGGCTCTCCTGGGAAATCTCTGTGGCAGACTGAGTTCTGCTGGCAGGGTAACAGCTAACTGCTTATCTGTAGTTCCATTAAAATTCAAGTGAAAGGTATGTAGAGCACCTGGGAAAAACAGCTTTTCAGGTTACTACTTTAACATATAAAAAAAAAATGCTTTAAGATCTTATGTCTCTCGCCTCTCCCTCACATACTCCTTCCTCTCCACCACAAATCATCTCTTCTTTCCATCCCTTAACCTCCATTGCACCTTCCTCTTCCTTCTATGCTTCCACACAATCACCTTCTTTATTTGGCTTTTAGTGTACTCTCCCTGAAATGCTGTCCCCTCTATAGACACAGTATGCAGTTTGCTCTTTTCACCATTGTTTAATGGATGATATCTCCTCTCATTGTGTGCTCTGCTGGTTGCACACTCATGAAATTATAAGTAAAACAGTTTGCAAAAAAACATTGCTGTAACTCTATCCACCAAAAGCCCATCTGAAGAAGGAAGATTTGCCAGGTCAAGTGGGTGGGGAAGGGGAAATATGGCACAGTATCAGCAGGTGGAAAATGTTACAAGTCCTCCTACCGAAATTAACTACCATATTCTTTTGGGGTGTGACTCAGAGCGTGTCGAGACGGGTGAAGTCTGTGCTCTATACCTGACTGGTCATTCAGATGTTCCCCTCACAGACACAGTGACTACAAACAAGGAAAGACTCACTTCTTTGGGGGAGGGAGGAGAAAGAATGAGGAGAGCTGCATCCAAAGAAAGCACAGTGAGTTGCTTTAGCTGTTAAAGAGAAGTCCACATCCGCATTACAATTTCCAGTTCTGAGAGTGAAAATTTATTATCTGTTACCTCTGGAGTGCAAAGAGTGCCCACTGCTTAATACAGATGCATGTAAGGTCTGAGGAATGGAAACAAAGCCTGTGTTCTTTAAATTTGG